AAACGGTAATTAGATTACCGTTACTTTCCCGTAGGAACGCTGCGTTACTGCGTTACTAAAACCGGGATTTTTTGCGAGAATGTCTCATGACAGTGACGTAGTGATAGTCGAGTGTGTTTATGCTCGTCTGTGTGAAGAGGATTGCTGGGATAGTGATGATGATGTTCGCTGTCACTGTCGATCATCAGTAAACATTTAATCTGGCTGATGAATCTTCACGTGACACATTACTAAGTGTATTATTAAGTCTGTAATTAGGCGCCATTCTTTTTATTTTACAGCATTGTTGTTCAATCGGGGGGCGCTCTCTGTTGAGGAGAAAAGCATGAATTTGTTTGTATACGAGGTATCCATTATTTAAATGTCCCGGGTAGTCGAAAAGGAGGCAGAGCTGTCGAGAAATGCTAGGAGCTAACTGCAAACAGCAGTCGCTTTCTGAAACATCGGATATGTATCGGATTCAGTGCCACATACGAAAGTGTCCCAGGTTGGATTAGAAAATATCGGATTTGTGCCGTTCACACTGTCACACCATGATCGGATAGATGGGTCGCATAGGGTCAGAAAAGTCGGATTTGATGCGCTTTCGCCTGCAGTGTGAACGTACGATTCAAATTGTTGTCAGCATCTGAAGAAATTATAATAAAAATAATAACAATAACCGGCTTGCAGCAGCAGCCAGGCGCGCCAGTGTTCACTCAACCGGAACCTAATATGTTTTCTCTTGTAGCGATCTGATGTTTTCAAAGTGTTACTTTAATTGTGTTTCTGTGTTGGCCCTTGCATACTATTATGATATTCATTCATTTACACACTAAGCTCTCTTCCATTGCCTCAAAATCTTTGTATAGAGTTAACTCGTAATTCCATAGCAGCTTACAGTGTTGCTCACTGACAAAAGTTAAACTTTTCATGCAGTGCATGGATAGGCTTATTAAACATTTCAACAAAATCCTGAGATTCATGCACAGGAAATTTGTAAAGACACACAGGAGGGCAGACTGGTGACCAGTGACCCCCCTTTCAGCTCTTTGCCTACAGATGGGTGCTTCAAGTGTCAATAGGTTTTTCTCTGTGCCATTTGGGGTCCAGTCCGGTGCAAGATGAATAACCTTGTTAAAAAAATCGTAACCAAGCGATCAGGAAGTATTAATGAAAGACTGTAGTGGCACTTAATTCAAAACAAATAATACACTGGCTTTAAAGGGAACACTTGTGTTTATTTAACCTTTTCATGTTATTGAATTATATTAAGTAGCAGAGCTGTTATGAACCATGACTATAAATTTTTTTTACCTTTTTGGATTTCTTATATTCATTTTGATGCTCTAATTTTTTATGTGCTTGTTTATGTGTTTTTATCCAGGTGCCACAGAACAGGTCAATGGCCACCAGTCTGTCCACTCCCTGCCATCTGTTCGCCATGACATCAGTCGCTACCAGAGAGTAGATGAACCACTGCCCCCTGGTGAGTGTGTGTGTGTGTATGTGTCTGTTTTAAAGAACATTAAAGTACACAATACAGCACAGAAACCGCATACACATATTTTCTTTACCAGATACCTTCAAGTTTGAAGGTTGTGTATAGCAGTCAGGGTTGATGCATAGGGTACTAGGGTCCCTAGAAGTCTTCTGGATTAAGCAGTTTGAGGAACTATTAAGATATAGCACAGGAGCTGTGATAAGGAATTTAGATACCGTATTTTTCAGACCATAAGGCGCACCGGATTATAAGGTGAAACAAAACAGTCAGATAAGTCAAACTTTACTCATCTCATTCTTCTTGCTTCCTCCA